TCCATCCATCCATCCATCCATCCATCCATCCATCCATCCATCCATCCATCCATCCATCCATCCATCCATCCATCCATCTATCCAATATTGTCAAAATCTAAAATGTTGGTAAAGTTATCATGGACTCAGAAAAAATCATTTTGAAAAGCTTTAGTCAGAATTGATTGCAGCATAGAAGCAGCTTTGGAATGTGCAAATCAGCTCCTTTTTGATCTGTGAACGACTTATCTGTACTTGTCTTCTTGAATATTACACGAGTTACATTTGGCATGACAATTATAGAAATCATGAACAGGTACATCCACTACTTATCTAGAAAATTGAAGTTAATACTGCATGTCAGAACAATCAAATAACATGCTCCCAGATTTCATCAAGCCACTTACCTGCTAATAACATCACACAATTATCAAAAGACAATTACTTCATTAAAGAGCACTGCTCCTTTTTCATCCGTCTTTGTTTTTCTTTTTACTTGCTCGTCACCAGTGTGGTTGTATGAAAATACATCTGTTCTAGATATAAGCTAAGCAGTTTTCGTTCTGGATAGGTTGGGAACAGGAGCCAGACTTTGGATCTAATTTTAACAACCTCGATACTGCATCCTGTTCACTGTAAAGAGGCACCACCCCAGCTTATTTCCAGTTGTAAGAACACTGACGTGCAGGAATTAATGGAAACTGTGAAAAAAATGCGAGTGTAATTTTTAACACATCCTCTTTGAAAAAGGAAGTGTTTGTTTGTTTAACTGATTATGTGCTCAGTTTTACATTTTGCTGTAGTACTATGCATAAATAGGGAGGGCATGCAAACTTCACACAAATAAACTCAGAGCTAACCACCACACTTTTGGGCAGCCTTAGTGCTTTTTTAAAAGAAATGTTTGTGAAATTGAAGAAATAGTAGAAATAAAATGGTTGTTTTATCATATTTGTAAATCAGTACAGTCTGTCTTACATTATACCTGTTATTTCTATAGGATTTTGCAGAGGCAATTTCAAGTTGATTTTGTTTTATCCCTGTACTTGAGGCATATCGAACAGCTTTTTCCCATAGCCTGTTAAACAAATTATGGAACCAGTGGATGCGATTAACTTACAATTCAACCTACTCATAATCTTGTTAAACATGACTTTGCTCTAGGTGTTTTGTATGCATGTGAGTGGCTCTTCAATCCTTCATCCTTAAAGTGCACTTAAGAACTACCTACTGCAAAAAAGTCTGCAGTGTTAGAGTCATAACTCCAAAGATCAGAACTGTTTCGCACTTTTTAGAAATTGTGCCTTCAGTTCTGCTCCGTTCCCTGGAAAAAAAAAAAACAACAACTGGAAGACAACTGCCCTACTTCAGCCTGTCAAGCATTACTGCTGGTAGGGTAAAACAAATAAAGGAGGAGCACAGTGAAGAAAGGGGTGGGAATAGGAGAGCGATCTCATATTTTACAAGACATCTATTTAGGGCAGAGTTCACTTATTCCTTTAAGAAGGCAAATCAAAGTCGTACAGAAGACTCCTGCAGCAAATACTGGACGAACTCTACTTTGTGGTTTGTTCTTTTTTGGCAACGGCACCATGAGTCTCTCACCCTCAAGGTATGCAACAGCTTTTGGGGTTTCATTTTCATGGTACCTTTACTGCTATTATAACTCAACTGCGGTTATGATTGTGCATTGTGAATAACCCAATGTGTTTGGTAGCTTACTCTCAATTTTAAACATGCCATAGAAACATGATGAATATGAGTAATAATGCAGGATCTACAGTTTATAAATATCAGTCGAGAACTTAATTTTTTTCAAGTCAGATGGGCTGATGATAAAGTTCAGAAAGTAAGACTTAGAAAACACTATTTTCAATAAGCCCTTTAACAAAATAAGAATAAACATGCCATTACCTAAATACCACTATTTAACTACCTTTAAAGTGCTTTTATGTTGTTCAAGAAACTGCAAAAAAATCTGTTAAATCTTTTACATTTTTCCACCATACAGAAAGTGCTCGATTGAGTCGCAGAATGTCAGGAAACAAGCTGAAAAGAGCTGTCTATTTTCCTCAATTTCATTGAAAGTTTATAATATAAATGTTGAAGTCAGTTCCATACAAATATGAATAAATCTATAGTTTGATGTCCTCTTTTTCTCTATCCCTTTCAACTCTAGTGCTGAGGATCAAGTTCTAAACACTACAAACAGCAGTTCATGCGATTTTCCACAATGGACCTACATTGGAATTCCTGTGTATATTATGGTCATCGCTGTTATGGGAATCATCCTGAATGTATTTGTGCTGATGGTTTTCTGCCTCCATCAGAAGCCCTGCACAGTGGCTGAGATCTACCTGAGCAACCTGGCTGCTGCGGACCTTTTGCTGGTATCCTGTTTGCCGTTCTGGGCTGTCAACATAATCAATAAGTTCAACTGGATTCTTGGCGAACTATTGTGCAAAATTGTCAACGCAGGCCTCCGCATGAATGTTTTCTGCAGCATATATTTCCTGGTTTTGGTTAGCGTAGATCGCTATGTGGCACTGGTACACCCCCTGTCCTATGAACGAGTCCGTAGGCCTCTTTTTGCCAAAGTGGGAAGTTTTTTGGTCTGGGCATTTGGCCTTCTCCTAAGTACACCTACACTCCTCTTCAGGAAGACGACATTTGTACCGGGGAAAAATATCACCGAATGTTATATTGACCATTCAGGTAATTTGTTCAATCGCCTTCGGCCTGACCTGATGATTTTACTTTTTGGCTTCATCATTCCAGTTCCCATCATTTCATTCTGCACCATAAAAATACTTAAAGCCCTGGGTAAAAGGCTAACAGAAGGTGTCAATGCAAAGAAAACAGATAATAAGGCTACTACTCTTGTCCTTGCAGTCCTCGTGGCCTTTCTTATTTGCTGGCTGCCATTTCACCTCACTAAAATCCCAGAATTGCTAAAAAAAATTGGTTTGCTGACTGGGTGTAGTTCTATCAGGATACTATCAACTTGCAGCCAGATTTTCCTCTACCTTGCCTTCTTTAACAGTGTTCTCAATCCCATTCTCTATGTCATTGTAGGAAAAAACTTTCAGGAGAAAGTCAGGGTAATTCCCAATCAGTGGAGGCACAACAAAAGAACAACCTATCGCTTAAATTCAAAATGCACACACCAGTCAAAAGTTGTAGATACTACTATCTGACCCTTTTTTAAAATCTGGGATATTGTGTTTAATACAGTTTTTTTTGTAATATGAAACGGAGAGTTATTCATCCCCATGTAATATGAGAAAAGCATCAGATTATTTAATTTGAACTCATTTTAATCCAAAGGTTTTCCTATCTCAGCATTCACACCTCAAATCAGGGTAGTGGAGTGTCTGTTTTTTTACTCAAGAAGAATGCAATGATTTCAGCAACATCAACTATCTGAAATGATCAACAGATCATTTGAAATGATTTATGTAGATGTTCATCATCAAGTGTGTGTGTCCTTGTGATGACATCCTGTTTGTCGAGTACAACTGAACAGCATATGGTAGTTGGTTGCTCAACCTTTTGTTGTGCCTCTCACATCCTGACAGCTGTTTGGTTAGAAATGCTTTAAAAGTTAACACAACAGAAATGCTACATACTGCGATAAAAAAGCATGAATGCACCTTTCCCTTTTGTGAAAAAATGATGGAATGGAACTGGAATTTAAAAAAAAATGGCATATTTTGTGTCTGTGGGGCAGCATTTAAATTTGTAAAGCCACATTTCAGTGGAGGGATGCTGTACATTTGCCCATGTCTGCTCAAATGCTTTTGGACTTCTCTTCGTGATAGGATAATATAACGCAACCTTTGTTAGTAGTGAAGCAAAAATCTCCAGCTAAATCTTACTTTGACATTATAGGTACATCAATTTCAATTGGATTTTACTTCAAATAGACATTTGTGATGCTGCAACATCTGGGAACAGCTCCCTGCATATTCTGATCTTTTACCGATTGGCTCAAGCTGAAAAATAATCACACACACTCATGGCATCTTCTCTTTACCGTGTCAACACTATTCGTTGTTGCTGAATTGACTTGTGTGTATCTCTTCTGAAATATAATAAATATGATGTAATAACAGAGGAAGTCTGGCTATCACTTTTTTTTAAAAACAAAAACAAATGAACCTACACTGAAGAATTTTCAAGATGCGTTTATTTTTCTGAGAATGTGGTCTGCAGTATTCATTGAATGTTTACTTTCTGTTTGTGGGCTGCATGCTAAATCTGATGCAGCACAAGCAACCAGTTGATCAGATCCATTTTTTCTTAGTCAACCTCGCAATGTCTAATTCAGACGTGGAACATCAGTAGAATGCCCATTTCTCTGAAGTAAGGACGGGAAACAACCGTGTCAAAGAGAACAAAAATACTAAGTTCAGGTTTTCAATAAAGACGTGTATTTTTTAGCAGAGAAATAAGTTCTTGCACACTTACTCTGAAGAGAGTGCTCCCCACACCACATCTCACCCACATAGGAAATGCACACGTTGGCTCTAAAAACCTACACAATTTTTCGAAGATATTGGACCTAGAGGGCTAGTGAATGTGAATTTTGGCATAATAAGATTGTACAAGATAATAATATTGTCTGAAAGGAGCCAGATAAACAGACCTTATCATACCTTATTATATCAATTGAATTTCCCATGGAGGAACGCAATACAGGTAATTATGTCATCCATTTAAACTTTTTTATCCTTAGGAGTTTTTCATCAGTTGTGAAAGGAAGTTAGGGGAGCTATGAGATAAAGAGAGTAAGGAAAGATAGTTGAGACTCATATTTGCTCTGATGTGGAACAGATTGAATTACAGTTCTTATTCCTAGGAATAAGTACAAAGACCATGGGGTGATCAGTTCTAAGAAAGCAGTTAAAAACATAATGCGATGAGAGCACTTACAAGGAATGATTTAGGATGAAATTGTTTTGACATGTGGGGGAAACAGACTTGTGGAGGGTAATGGTAAGTTTAGAGGATGAGTTGGCAAACTTTCAGGGAGATTGTTTTTATTTAGTTTGAACTCTGTTAAAGGGTATCACCCCAATCGATGTGGATTTATATCATGAAATGAGCACTCCAGACATAATTTCCTACACTCTGAATGGAAATCAAATATGTTTTGTTCAAAACTCCTGGTGAATGTTGGCCCTGCAAAATCATGGCAACACGCTAATTTGTATGATGGAAAATTATGTGTTGATGGGACAGGAAATCTTTGTCATTATTAACCTCATCGTCCTCTATCACTTGCATTTACTGTATGTAGCATTCTGGACTAAGTGCATCCATTAGGGCTCATGATACAAAGAGCCTCACCGCAGTGTTAATGTGTTCCAGAACGAGTCCAACAATCAGCACAATCCCACACCCTGGGGTCTCATTTCAAAGTAAAAGTAAGTTTGATCCATAAAAACATTTTAGGTTTTGCTTACTTAGTCATCATTATGATTCGTATTCTTAATGAGGATGAAGAGAGTAATGATTTCCAAACATTATTTGCAGAGTTGACTGAGTTAGGGTCAAATGCGAGCAGGTGTTGGCGATGTGCAAGGTGACATGAGAAAACTGAGTGTGTGGCAACAACAGCCGTCTCCTTAATGTGCTCTCAGTGCCACTGTCTACCGGGTAATTTTACCCAAGTAAACTAAATGAAAAATAAAATCTCAGTTACAGATAAACCCAACATGTTTTTTGACAAAATTGACCACTTTGCTCATTTTTGCAATTTTCAAAGCTAAACGTGAGGCTTAAAGTGGATTTCAACTGGAATGCCATTGTTCAGCCAAGACACTGAACTTCATATTGCCTTCATTTCCTTTTTTGGGATAAAAGTGTCTGAAGTATCAATGTCATTAAAGGTAGATTTTACTTTAGGTTAGTTGGTTTTAGGTTTCACAAAGGATAAAATGTGGCTAAATCCTGTGATTGTCTCAGTGAATTTCTTTCTATCATCTTTTTACCAAACATTCTCAACAACAACAACAACAACAGGGATAACACAAAACAGTAATGAGATACTGTATATGAGATAGATAAGGGCGAATGCAATGTTTTGAAAATGTGTCACCTGCAGAAAAACAATGGCCAACAGATGTCATTACTCTGTTCCTACTCAGGTTCTGCATTTTAGGTTTTGGATGAAAGTTCTGATTCATGAAGCAGTATTCATGCTCATGTTTGCAGGTGTAACTGGTTTGACAGGTTAGGTTAAAATGATACATACACCTCTTAACTGTAAAGCCTAACACAAATACTTCAGGTACAAACATGATCATTTTCAGATGCCAGTCAAGTCTGCTGGACTTTGCAGCATGATAATTAAGCACTTTTGGACTTTTCCCATAGCTTGGTTAGACATTTCACACAGAGACGATTTAAACAAATTAGTACAAATAAGTTTTTATATTAAGTGTAAAAAGTTAATCTTGAAATTAAATGAAAAACTAAAATATATAAATTATCTTAAAATTTTGACAAGGTTTAAACAAAAGCATTAACAGCCTTTGAATGTTTTACAGTTAAGCTTTTTTTTTTTTTAACACTGATAAACAATCCCTGAACCTCCAATGAGCCCTTATTTGGGAAACTGTGTGTATTGTTTAAAACTATGTCACTTAAGTGTGGCCTGCCATGGCTGGTTTTTCTCAGCAGCACAATGCTCAAAATTAAAGTAACACAACTGTATTAAAAGTAGTCCCTGATGTTGTACTCAATCATATTTATTAGACTGGATGGATTTGATCTGCAAATACCAGTTTTTCCTGGAAACACATGTGTTTGCATAATGTTCTTAGCAGTTGATTTGCTTTGATCGAGGAAATGTAATGTTATCAATTAGTGAGTAACAGTGTGAAAAGTTTTCTCTAACTTCTGGCTGTATGGAAATGTTTACCCCTGTCAGCCATGAAAATTGAAGTTGTTTAAACTGTCAGATAATCTTTAGAAAACACATTTTAATCAAACGTTTTTTTTTCTGGGTTTATTTAGTGTTGACTGTCAGCATCTGTTTATTTTGAAAGGTCATCCACAACTCAACACTGCATTGGAAAATATTTGACCCCTGATTGTACCATGTGGCATACACATTTGCATGGCTTATCTCTGTCCACTACTGTACATCAGAGAATTTCCTATCAACAGTCACAGTCAGGATCGGACATCATCGAGTTACGATGGATTACACACTTCAAAACCAGACAAACATATGCTCTTCTTATTCCTCAGTGGAACAGGATATGTATCCGACTGCATATTCTTTATTTTTTGTCGTGAGTTTTCCAGCCAACTGTCTCTCTCTGTATGTTGCTTTGATGCTGATGAAGAAAGGGAACAATGTGGCCGTCTACCTTTTCAGCCTTTCCATTTCTGACCTTCTCTACACAATTTCTCTTCCTGTTTGGATTGAACTCGCCCTGCAGAAGCCCGTAGGTGATGTCCTCTACAGCACGGTCAATTTGATCATGTACAACAGCTTTTATGTTGGCTCGGGTTTGCTTTGCTGCATCTCTGTGGATCGTTATTTGGCAGTCGTTTACCCTCTCCACTTTCACTGGGTCAGAGAGGTGAAAACTGCAGCAGTGGTAAGCACTGCCGTTTG